CGAGGTCCTTGTGGAGATCGAGAATTTGTGGTAAAGAGCACGGTAGCTTTAGGCATGGTGGCACTTTCTAACATGGTTCTTTGTTGGTTGCTTTCACGTTTGACATGAGAGTAGGCTCCTTCAAGACCAAGTTTAGGCTCCATCTTCAAAATCTCACCATAAATTTGATCAAACTTGCTACCTAATCTTGCAAGAAAAATATAGACTCGAAGTCGCTCGATTTCTTGTTGCCTTGATGAGATATCATCTGGGTCCTTCATGTTTGTGGGACCAGGTTGATCAAGTTCTTGAAAAATCTCGATGAGATTGCTGTAATAATTAGTAGTAGGAGCTCCTTTTTGCTTCATGGTGAATGACCTTTTATGAAGATTGTAAATTTTGGCTTCATCAGAGCCATTTAAGTAAGTCTTTTTTATCCCATACCTGCGTGGCAGTGTCATAACAAATGAATCGCTTCATCTGATTGGGTGTCATAGCATCAAATAACCAACTTTTGACTTGGCAATTTTCAGCTCGTCACTTGTTGTACAGTGGGTTTGTAACTGTATGCTGCTTAGTATCACTGCAAAGATGCCCATGTTTATCTCAACCAGCAATTTTCATCTCTATGACTTGATGCCATATAGAATAGTCGCCCTCATCAAGTTGAATTCCTGCTGAGAAATTGGAATTATCACTTTGAATGGTGACAACTTGTGTGGTGGAGTTTGATTCACCTAGTGTGAAGGATTGGTTTGGTGGGTTCGATACTTCATCATCACTAGCCATTAAGTAGGCTTAGAATCAGTGAAGTTGAAATAACAGATCAAACTGATATGAGAAAAATGAAGAATAAGTTACTTATTATGGTGATCGAGCTTGACAACATTTATGTGGATAGTAATTAACATTGACAATTGCCATGTCCATGTTGACAAACATCAGCTTTTTCTGTTGACAATTGCAGCTCTTGTTAACACTAATTACAATTAAAAATTACATTCTTATAAAACAAACCATAATTACAGAGAAGATTTTGAATTATTTAATTTTTATTTAACACACACAGCTTGATCAGACAAGTGTAACAAAATTCATCATGCCGAGGCTGGTTGATGGAAGAAATATAACAAATTCACCATGACGAGGTTGATTGGTGGAAGAAATATAATAAACTTGATGATTGATATAAGAAAGTTGAGGTTCTACCATAAAATCAATTAGCAATATGAGAAATAGTTTAATTACTTATAAGCACATTCAAAGTCGCTTATTTCTCCAATACGAGATTCATACTCTTAACACGTCATCTCACATGTGAAGAGTTTTCAAGCCTAACATGTGGACAACACAAACAGAATAACGTGGAACTCGTATGAATGTTGGGCTTCACACGAGGGAGAACTTGTTTTATAACCATGTAGAAATATGACTCCTTATGAATTTTGGTAAAGTATTACCATATATAGGGTTACGTCAAATCTCTATTTAAGTAGGAATCATACATTAATTACAATTACAAATTGGATTACTATAATACAAACAATAATTATGAAGAAGATTCCGAATCAATTAACTTTAGTTTAAAAGATTATATTTAGTAATTAATATAGGGCCCGTTTGTTTGATCGGATTAGGAAAGATTGGACTGGACTAGACTATAGTCCCTTGTTTAGTCTGCACCAGGATTAAGTTTAATGACACTAAGTCGGACTCGCACGGACTAACAGCTTTACTAGCTGTTCTTAGTGAGACTCCCCAAAAACTGGAGGATTGCTAGTCCCATCTCTAGTGCGTGCGTCGTCTACAAGCATGCGATACCGATCTCCATCATCCCGTGAACCCAGTCACAAAATCTTGCCTTCTCTTTTGTCCATGAGCTACAACCCCTTCTCCAGTCATCAAATCAGAAACTCGCCGATCTTTGTCCCACGAACCCAACCCCCTCTTTGCTTCATCAATGAATTTGTCCAGTTAAGCTTGCAATAAGTTTAATCCACCATAAACAACAATTCAATTCAAAGATTAAAGCTTATAAATCCAATTACAGAAAATATCAAAATCTGTGATAAACCCATAAATCTTTTACCTTGGGTTGCAGTGCACTACTCCAGAAATTTGTAGGAATAAACGAAATCAAATTTGGAGTTGTAAAACATAAATTATAGTAGAAATTTGATATGTGATTTCCAATTTGCAATGCTCTCTCTGCTTTGAGGAACAAGAAAAAATGCCTCCTTTTGAGGAAGAAAATGCACAGATCCTCCTTTTTAATACACAGATCCTCCTTTGAGGAAGCAATTGGGAGAAATGGGGGAGAAAAAGAGAGAGAGGAGGGAGATGGTTGACCGGAGAAAAAAAAGGGAAGAAAATGAGGGAGAGGGGAGTGAGAGAATGGGGAGGAAGAAGAAAATAGTGGGCCAGAGGGAAAAAAGGCAGAAAATAAGGGAGAGGATAGTGAGAGATTGGGAAGGAAAATGATAAATTAATAATACAATATAATATTTATGAATTAAACAAATATAATATTAAAATTTATTAATTATTTTGTTTCTTAATCCGACACTGCATTAAACGTTTCACTAAATCAATTCAGTTTAATCTAGTCTAAGCCAGTCTAGCTTAATCCCTGAAGTTAATCCAGTCCGAAATAATCCGGTGCCACAAACACACCCATAGAGTACAAGTTCAATATCGTTGCAGCATATTTAAATTTATAAGGAAAAACTACTGAAAATGATTTGAAAACTTTAAATTTTAATAAAAAAATCATCTAATAACTTTATTTAATTAAAATGGTCCCAACACTGTGTTCTCAATTTTACCTTGATGGCAAGCTTTTTTCCGATTAATATCCCTTGTCATTTATGCATCTCTCTGTTATTCTCTGTCTCCTCCATTTCTTACGAAACGACAAGGAAACTGAAATCCCGCGGGCCCTCCCCTTCCCTCTCATCGACTAAGGATCAAAGTGGAGATTCTGATTCTGATTCTTCTTAGTTAAATCTATCAGTAAACAGAAGTTTGTTTCGGCCGTTGATTTCAGCGGCAGCTACTAGCTGGGTGTCGTGGGCGAGCTGAGCTGGGATAGGACTGATGGGTGTCGTGGGCGAGCTGAGCTGGGATTCGACGAGATCGATGGCGATAGGACTGATGGGTGTCGTGGGCGAGCTGAGCTGGGATTCGACGAGATCGATGGCGATAGGACTGATGGGTGTCGTGGGCGAGCTGAGCTGGGATTCGACGAGATCGATGGCGATAGGACTGATAACTGACTAGGACGAGGATGCGAAGATGCAGATGGACTCAGAGATCAACCGGCGCATCTTAGCCATGACGAGGAGATAGATTAGTTACGGTGATGAAAATTAGAGAAAATAATAATTTTCAAAAAGGGGTGGTTCCGAATCGGTAAATTTGGAAAAGTAACCATATTTTAAACTTCATATAGAATTATAGCCATCATTTTAATTTTATGATAATTCTAACCAAAACTTAATGTAAAAGTACTAATATACCCTTAATGATAATTTGGAAAAGTAACCATATTTTAGATCACATATAGAATTATAGCCATCATTTTAGTTTTATGATAATTCTAACCAAAACTTGATGTTAAGATCTTGAAACATAAAAGAGGTAGCCTCCTCAATACTACCCAATACCCCTATTCTCGAACCCTCCATTTCCTACGCTTTTTTTATTTTTATTTTTTATATATATATAGATATAGATATGGATATTCAAATGTAATCAGAGAAAGTGAGATTTGAAGATAACCTAGTAAACATAAAAATTAATTAGGAATTGAATCTCCGAAGCAAAATTTGAATCTAAAAATAGAGGAGCAAAAAGCCTTTTAAGCTAAAATCTGTGTGAGGTTTTTTTGCTAAACTGGTGATTGAAAATATAAAAGTCGATAATGTGATAAATCCCTGAATAATATAAAAGCCAATAATGTGATAAATCCCGGATAATATAAAGCCCAATAATGTAATAAATCCCAAAGAAAAACATTCACATCATGTGTTGGAATGAAGTCTAATTGGATTCTTGCAAGTTTGGCGATTGTGGCCTGTCCCACCCAGCGATTGCACTTCTTCACTATCATTTCCTCTCCCTGAGATGGGATTCTGTTTGTCTTGCGTCTTCCAGATACAACTTGTCTGATTGGAGGTAACACAACTCTATTATGCACCTCTTCTGGCACACTCCATTCACTCTTGTTTCCAACCGGCCAAATGGGCTCCGCATACGCTAGCACAATTGCATTGGCTGTGTAGAATTTGGAGCACATAGTGTACATTGATGTGTTGCGAATTCGACATGCAGCAGTTGCATGGACACATGGAAGCTGGTCGAGATCAAACCTTCTACACGTGTATGACTTGGCATTTAGATCAACTATATGATATAACTCTGCCTCATGTACTTGCAATGCATAGTGATTAATGGAAGATACTTGCATAGTTGACAAGTAACAACCAACAACAAGAGACCAATTAATCATAATTATCATATTCTTTTATCAACCTGTTTATTTGTTTGAAACATTTTAACTATGTTTTTGGTTAACAAAATATGTGCACTAACCACATAGATTTGGCCGTCATCCAACTCACTTAACCATGAAATATTACATGCTTCAAGGCCACAACTGATTAAATAAAAAGTTAAGAAGAGTGAAAATAGTTTTTTGTTGGTTCCTTTTTTTTTTCCTTCGTCTGTTCTTGGTATGGATTCTATGTAAATTTAGGTGTCCAGTGTGCATTAGGAATGTGAGAGTGCATAAAAATGTAAACAAATCATACATACCGACATACGCAAGCCTCTATTTTGATTCTTGTGCACTTTTTCCTCTACCCACTTTGTCAAGGTCGAATTCCATGAACTTGCTATGTTCCGACGTTCGTTGAACCACTCTTGTAGTATACCTCTAAGGTGATCCGCTAGAGCAATGATAGGCAACTTTCGAGCATCCTTCAGTTTTGCATTCATGGATTCGGCAATGTTGGTTGTCATCATGTTTTATCGTTTTCCACTGAAATGTGCCCGAGCCCATCTATGATACCTAATTTCTTGAAGATATTTCCTACTTTTTCATCTTTGATTGCCCAAATATCAGTCATAACACTATTAAACTCTGACACAAGGTATGCTTTTGCCGCAGTGTAATATAACTTAAACATCGTTTCATCATCACCAAATTTATTCCTCATGTTGCCAGCTACATGATACATACAAGCTCCATGATATGCCTCTGGAAACACAGTTTGTACAACTTTACCAATACTTCCATGTCGATCAGATACAAACACCAAGTCTGCTACCTCTCCAATGGCACTTCTCAATTTTGTAAGAAACCATGTCCATGAAGCGTCATTTTCTAAGTCACCCACACCAAATGCTAAAGGATATATTTGATTTTGTCCATCATGGCATACAACAACAAATAAGGTGCCAAGATATTTACCCTTTAGAAAAGTCCCATCAACTGCTACCACAGGCCTCATAGAACCACGAAATCCCCTTATAGAGGCTCCCATTGCCATGAAAAAGTATAAAAAGTGATTATTGTCATCTGTTTCTATATGTGTTATTGTCCCAGGGTTTTTACTTTCTAACATGGTACAATAGGCATGAAGTGCGGCAAAAGATTCCTCTGGCGACCCTCGGATCATGTCAAATGCGTGCTCTCTTGCTCTCCAAGCTTTCTCGTAGCTCATATTAACCCCAACTTGTGCTCGCATATCCTCAATGATGTCTTTAGGTCTATATACACGTGATGCCCCCTCATTCTTTGACTTTATAAATTGGCCAACAACAGAACTACTTGCTTACTGATGATCACGTTGAACAACATCTAATGAACAAGAATGATTAGTTTCAAATTTTCTTACTTCAAAAAATTCTGACACTTGTAACTTGGTTGCACGAAGTCGCCACTCGCAATTATCATCCACACATCTAATTTCCAAATGATCCTTAGTTGATCTTTCCACTTTAAATTCATAATTCTTCCTCATTGCAATCATAGCTAATTGTTTTTGCAACTCTTTCTTACTCGAGTACAATTGTCCGACCATAATATCTCCATCTATATTCAAATCTGCAATATTATCATAGTCTTGTATGCTTTTACGCTTGTTATGACGAGACGACGATAGATTGAAATTGACATCGTTTGACTGCACATTGTCGAAATGGGTACTGTCATGATAGTCATCAGTAAACTCAAAACTCACATCTATTGAAGCCTCACTAATCTGGGCATTGTCTTGAAGAACTTGACTTGGTTGTTCATCACCTAAAATGTCATCATTCTCTTGAATTCCCACTGTTGGTGATAGGGAACTGCATGCAATTGGGTGTTCATCTTCAAGTTCATTTAGAGGATATGTTGTAACATATAACGGAATCTTGTTCGGTTTTGCAGAAAGACTTTCACATACCAACTAGTCACATCGTCGTTGTCTACAATCTCCATCATAGTTTGTATCCCTAAGTTGCTAATGCATTGATAATGTATTGAGATTCTAAATTCACTTGGACTAACATGAAGACGTTTATATATACCTTGGATAAGATCTGGATGAGTAACTTCGGTTGACACTACCATTGCTTTCGCTTGACCATCTGTGTATTGGCTATCAACCCTCCTCCATCCGTAATGGACCACGGTCACAAATTGAGTCATTTTCTGAAGGAAAAAAAAATTAATTAGCGCATCTAACTAACCTGCAAATATATTAAAATTAGGAAAAAGTTATAGAAAAAATTAATTAGCACATATAACTAACCTGGGTTTTGGGTTTAGGGTTTCAGTGGTGAAAAATGGACACCTCCTTGCAGCAAACCCCAAAACCTTAAAATTCAACGGCAAGCAAAAGCTCCTGATTTTCCAATGCTTTACCAAAGCTTTACCGATGCTTCCATGGACACCTCTCTTCTCGTGATTTTCTTCCTGTTTTTCTTTCGCTGTTCTTTTTTTTTTTTGTCAAAATTCAACGCCAAGCAAACCCCAAATTGTTAATCTCTCGCTGTTCTTTTTTTTTGTCAAAATCTCTTCCTGTTTTTCATTCTTGGTTGACTGATGTTGATTAGGTTTTGTTTTTGTTGTGAGAAACCCTAATATTAAGGGTATATTAGTACTTTTACATCAAGTTTTGGTTAGAATTATCATAAAATTAAAATGGTGGCTATAATTCTATATGAGGTCTAAAATATGGTTACTTTTCCAAATTTCCCTCCCCGAATCCTTAACGTTAAAATCTTAATAGTATTCAAAATTTGATCAAAATCTCTTAATTTAGTACACCTCATTATATTACTATAAATATTTTTATTTTTATAATTTTGACATTAATTGTTTGATATTTTATAAGATTTATAATCCTATAAATTTAAAATCCCTCATTATAATACTATTAGAAACGGTTACATAAAAAATTCAAACATTTTGATTTAATAAATGGATAAAAACTATGTAAAAATAAGAAATAATAAATGGAAAAAGAATGTATCCATAGTGTTAAAAAAATTGGTACATTTTACAAAAAAATAGGTAAATTTCACATATAACAAAGTGGTACATTAATAAAGAAGAATGAGTACATTATAAATAAATTAGAGTACAGATAAAAGATTAAAAAATTATGAGTACAAATGAATTTTTTTAAAATATAGATGCTACAAGAAATTAATACATGGGTACAAAATAAAACTAAAAAGAAAATACTACAAATTTAAAAAAAAAATTGTTACAAATTAAAAGTGGGTACAAACTAAAAATATAAATATATGATACAAAGTTTAGGCATAAAACATAAATATACCATATGTAATTCTTCTATCATTGATTAAATATACAATGTCACGTGATGATATACACATGGGTACAAACACAAATAAAACTTTTAAAAAATTGGGCACAAAAAGAAACTAATATATGGGTACAAATTAAAAATGAAAAGAAAATTGGTACAAATTAAAAAATATTCGCAATTAAAAATAGGTACAAACTAAAAATAAAAATATATGATAAAAAATTTAGGCATAAATATAAATATACTAATTGTAACATCACTAAATGAATATATTTAAAAATAAAAATGTTTTATTATTCAAATAATTAATGATGTTATTAATACCCAAGAACCTTGATAAAAAATTGAAAATGAATAGGATTTTAATCAATAGAGTAACACACAAAAAGATGTGAACCTAATTTTCCCTTTTTAAAAATTCAGATTCCAGAAAACGTGTAATGGATTGTAAAGGGTATTTGCTGGATGCGACTTTTGAAAAGCATATTTATGTTGCATACCAGCTTGTAACTTTCTGCACATGCACATTGATTTCCACATATATGATCGATGGGACATGGATCCTCTTCGGATCTAATTATCCTAATCCTAGGGATCCATCAATCCGGACTATTGAAATTTGATCAAACGGCTACAAATAGAGGCTCATTTTAAAAGTTATAATAACTTTAACTGTTGGATCAAATTTCAACTGCTCGAATTGATGGATCCCTATGATTAGGAGAGGATCCATGTCCTGATCGATGTATTTAGTGTGTGTGGCATAGTTGATGTATGCTGAATCTTGATCACTAGTTAGGCCATCTCCAATCGAATGAGGGTCAGATGATACTCTTTGTCCTTATAGCCCTTCAAAAAATTAATATTTTAATGAACAGTGTAAGGTCATATTTCTTACCATCTCCAACCGAGGGGCCAAAAGTCTATAGGCCAAACATAGCATTGTGAAAAAAAATCATCTCCAACCGATGGCCAAACATAATTTATTATTTTAATTGAATTACTATGGTTACTTAAATTAAATTACCTCAATCATTAAGGAACCAGCAAGAAGGTGGAGTCGAGAAAATTTGGACTCTATCATGATATCTTGCATCATATTACACAACATGATTGTAGAGGATGAGCGAGATGGATATATTGATGGAAAGTCTGATGACGACCAAGAGGATCCAAATAGGTCAAGAAGGGCTCGTGCAAAATATATGATGGGCCTAATTTGCCTTTCAATCCAAGAACTGGTACTATCTATTTGAATGAGTACATATGGCTGTAACGACCCAAAATTTATTTCGAAAGATAATTACTAAGATAGGCTCAAAATTAAACCCTTGTTAATTTGCTACCAATTACAACAATTATTTTATTTGAATTTAATTACTCACAAAATCTCTAACCAAATTTATTTACCAATAACATAAGATTTATTTTTAAATTAATCACCAAATTTCTTTTCTTAGACAAATTTTCAATCAAAGATTAATCTTAGTTATTTTATGGCTGCATCTAACCTTCTTGTTAGATTTCCTACGTACCATACGAAGGAATCAAGCCAATCGTAGTTCACAATTCCTTTTTAATCCATTTCCAAAAATATTCAAATAACAGAAATATCCAACATTAGTTTTAATAATCGAAACACATCAAATGGATACTAAATACGTGTTTAGAATATCAAAATTTGCATAAAAGAAAGCATCATCCCACTGGCCACGCGCCGCTGCAGGTGGCGGTTTCTGGCGAACGGAAATCCAGTTTTCCACCGACCTCCAAAAATTACCAAATTTTACAGGGTTATAGAACACAACAAGGGGAAGAGTTTTTATACCTAGGCCGAAGTCCAATTCGACCGGAAATTACCTGAAATCCGATAGGGATCACCGGAAACCCTCGAAATGGGTTCTTTTCGATTCGACAATTTTTGAGCTCTGACGCCTTAAATCTCGTTTGGGATTTGTTACTGAGTTCGAGGTGAGTGAATTGATGATGGTGGTTAACGATGGAAAGCACGAAAACGACGGAATCGACGACGTGGCTCTAGGACACCCACGACACAAGTTCGTCTTGAAACCGGACCAAACCAGCTCAATTTTAGGTGGAAAATTGAAGAGGGGGTAACGACGTGGTGATTGGTGGTGGTAAATCATCTCAATTCATCGAAAAATCGATGAATTTCACCGAAAAATATACTAGGTCGAAACCGGGTCGCTATGGGGGAAATGGGTCGCCCCAATCGCCTGGTTTCCCCTTTCCTCTTTTCCCTCATTTCTCCCTTCTTGATTGGCCCGTCCAATCCCTCATTTCCCTTCTTTCTTTCCCTTCCTCTTCATCATAGCCACACACGTGGCATCTTAGATTTTGCTGGATCATTCCAGATAAGTGGTCAAATGACCATTTTGCCCTTAATTTTGCTCGTTTATATCTTCTTTGTTATAACTCCGTTTCACAAACGGTTTTCGTCTACATGCTCATGAGATCAAGTTCTATCCAAATATGTCAAGATATACGACAAAACCTATAAGGATAAAATACGTCCTCATATAATTAAGTTTAGCCAACTAGGGGCATTTTCATCCTTTCACTTTTCAGAAAATTATTCACCGTAATTATAAATGTGTCATAACTACAAATACGACAACCAAAATACTTAATTTAATAATAACATCCAGGAATGAGATTTCACATTTTCCCCCATTTAAATTTCAATAACCAATTACATACTTAAAATAATCAGGATGTTACGAGGCGTCATAGGATGATACGTTCCCGTGCCACAAACAATTACCTACAACAGGATCTTGTTGCATATCTTTGGGCCAAAAGAAGCATGGAGTAGGCGTTTAAGTTTTATGTTTTTTAAAATGTTGCTTAAGTTTCATGTTGTTAAATGGTTTTTTTATGTTGTTTAATGTTACTTAATGTTATTTAATGTTGTTTAATGGCTTAGGAAGTTATAGAGAAAAAATAGATTTTTTAAATTTTTATAAAAAAAATTTGTAAAAAAATAAAAAATAAATAAAAATCAAATCAAATGTAATGGCTAGATGGCTGGGTTGGGCCAGACGGTTGGCCCTTTTCTCCTTTTTCGGTCCGGTGGGGTCCACGAGCCATTTGGCCTAGCCCTCGGTTAGAGACGATTTTCATGTCTTTTCGGCCTTTTGGCCCTCTGGCTGGATTAGTTGGAGATGGCCTTAGTCTTTCAAGTGTGTCTTATGCTGAATCAATTTTGACTTAAGTTGCTGCTGGCTGTTTCATAAACTTTATACATTTAACTAGTGATACTGGGTCTTATTCTAACACTAGAACTTAAGGCATTAAGTGTTACAGCCCGTCCCGAAATAAATTAGCAACGATGTGAATTGACCATTTTACCCTCGGATGTGAGCGTTGTGGTGTGTTATGCATGTAAATGGTGGTCCAAACTTGTATTTCCCTAATTATTGGAACAAAAAATTAGAAATTGGTTTTGTGGTTTTGGTTGGTGACCACGTGGACCACTCACACACACACAAAACTCTCATTCTCTCTTCTCTCCCGTGCTCTCTCCCTCGGACTCACACTCGCTCTCTTTCCCTCACGTACGGACGAACGTCATACTCACACTTCAAGCATGGATCGACATTAAAAAGGTAAGATTTGAACTCCTTGCATGTCCCTGAGT